ACCAACGGGAAAATTACAGAAGAAAAATCCCAAGTTTCGAGTATCCGTTTATTGTTAGAATCATTGTTTTATTATTGCATACTGTTTTCAATCTCTCTCTCTTTTTTTTTTATCTACCTCAAAGAGCAATATCAGAGAGAGACAGAAATCTTTCATCCGCTGATTCACTCCCCAAATGGCCACGGCAGTCATAGGCACTTCATTAGGAACCTCATTAGGCTCTCCCATGTGAGTGGCAGCGGCTACACACCTGTGCCAGTCTCCACGGCCACCAAGGGTACATTGACAGGATCCTGGAGCAGGAGCAGAGTGTTTGGGACTCAAGCCAGGCACCCTGATGGGGAGGTGACCTGACATGCTATGCCACAGCAGCAGCCTCTGTGGCTAATCTCTTACTGTGCCTAATTTAAAAATTAAACTTCATTACAGGCATGTATAAATAGTAAAGGTTTATAGTATATGCAAGCTTGGGTTCCGTACCATCTGTAGTCTAAGGCATCCCCTGGAAGTCTTAGAATATTTCTTCTCTGGACAAGGGAGAACTGCTATAATATTTATGGCCTTTTTCTTAAAGATTTATTTTATTTTTATTAGAAGGTCAGATATACAGAGAAGAGGGACAGAGAGGGAGATCTTCCATCTGATGATTCACTCCCCCAAGTGACTGCAACAGCCGGAGCTGTGCTGATTTGAAACCAGGAGCCAGGAACCTCTTCCAGGTCTCCCATGGGGGTGCAGGGTCCCAAAGACTTGAGCTGTCCTCTACTGCTTTCCCAGGCCACAAGCAGGGAGCTGGATGGGAAGTGGGGCCACCGGGATTAGAACCGGTGTATGGCAGTTGTTTTACTACTTGGGATGTTTTGTTACACAGCAATAAATAACAAATACACAAAATTTTATAAGTAAAAAAAAGCACTGAATAAATATTAGTTCTGATTATTATTATGATTTCAAATCGGATTGACCCTGACCTACTAGGGCTTCTTTTTATTAATAACAGCCACAGTGATTTACTGAGCAGGTTAAATCAGGCATAGCACATATATAACCTATCTCATTCATTGAATATCCAGGGCCTGGGTATCGTTGTCCATTTTCACTGAAGTTCGGTGGAGTTAAGTGGTTTATCAAGGCTGTGCCAAGGTGTGATGCAGCTTCGATACAACTTCTGGTTGCTCTGGCCCAGAAGCTGGGGCTGCACCAATTTGTTCCCATTAAGAACTAGCTGGATTGGGGCTCTTGCCTCATGGCATTCTTTTGGATAGACTGCCACACGATACTGTATATACCCAGGCCATCTAACTCAGCGCACCCAAGCTGCAGCAGCTCCACTGCCCTGGAAACGCCCCAGTTAAGCTTCTGTTTCTACTACAGGGACTAGAAAAGTGACTGTCACATGGTATTTTGTAATGATGCTATTAACTTAATGTGCATTAATTTGATCCCTTGGGTTATTAACTTCCAGCAAGCCAACTCTTGGCACGCTTCCTGGAAGGCTATTTTGCTTCCTGTGTGGAGCACTGAGGGCAGGACTGCCAGGTGCTCCTGTGCCCAGGATCCCATGGAAACCAGAGCTGGACATGTGGATCCATCCAGAGTTAGCCCAATGCAGATGGTGCTTGGCTTAAATTCATGGAGGACTGGGAAGCTAGCTAGGCAAGTCAGGTGCAAGATACTTCTCTCCTCTCCTCTCCTCTCCTCTCCTCTCCTCTCCTCCCCTCCCCTCTCCTCCCCTCCCCTCCCCTCTCCTCCCCCTCCTCTCTCCTCCCTCCCCTCCCCTCCCCTCCCCTCCCCTCCCCTCCCCTCCCCCTCCCCTCCCCTCCCTCCCTCCCCTCCCCTCCCCTCCCCTCTTCTCTCCCTCCCTCCTCTCCTCTCCTCTCCTCTCCCCTCCTCTCCCCTCCTCTCCCCTCCTCTCCTCTCCTCTCCCCTCCTCTCCTCTCCCCTCCTCTCCTTTCCTCTCCTCTCCTCTCCCCTCCTCTCCTTTCCTCTCCTCTCCTCCCCTCTTCTCTCTTCTCCTCTCCTCTCCTCTCCTCTCCTCTCCCCTCCCCTCCCCTCCCCTCTCCTCTTTTCACAGAGACACAAAGAAAGTCATGGATGGAGACAGGTCCCATTTATTGCTTGGCTCCCCAAGTGCCCCAGATGGCCTCTGGGATGCTGGCTCAAGCTGGGGGCTGGGAACTGTAAGTTTCCCATTGTGTTGGCAGGGATCCAACTATTGAGCCATCATCACCCTTACCTCCCACAGTGTGCATCAGTGGGATGGGACTCCTACGCTCTGAAACACTCACCTCCCAGGCTCATTTACAACAGGAAACAACCTGGATGTATTTTTTTTTTTTTAAGATTTATTTTTATTATTTTTTCATTGGAAAGGCGGATATACAGAGAGGAGAGACAGAGAGGAAGATCTTCCGTCCGATGATTCACTCCCCAAGTGAGCGCAACGGGCCGATACTATGCCGATCCGAAGCCAGGAGCCTCTTCCGGGTCTCCCACGCGGGTGCAGGTTCCCAAAGCCTTGGGCCGTCCTCAACTGCTTTCCCAGGCCACAGGCAGGGAGCTGGAAGGGAAGCGGGGCTGCTGGGATTAGAACCGGCGCCCACATGGGATCCCGGGCGTGCAAGGCGAGGACCTTTAACCACTTGCGCCACCGCGCCGGGCCCAACCTGGATGTATTTTGAAGACTCCAAGTCATTTCACTCCTGAGTTGATGAAGACATTAAAAGCCTTTAGCCCACTGGACATCCAGCCTTGGTTCTCTGCTGTCCCCTCCTGCATCCTCAGTGCTTCCATCGGACCTGAAACTACCTTTTGTGAGGGCCTATGCTGTGATGCAGCAAGTGAAGCAGGTGCCTGTGACTCTGGCATCCCATACTGGAGCACCAGTTGCAGTCCCGGATGCTTTGCTTCCGGGTTCTGTTCTGTGCTAACGTGCCCGGACAGGCAGCAGAGGATGACGCAAGTACATGTTCCCTGTCACTCCTGTGACACAACTTGATGGAACTCCTGGCTCCTGACTTTGGCTTGGTTCTTCACTGGCCACTTGGCGAATGAATCAGATCTCTTTCTCTCTCTGTCACTCTGCCTTTTAAATAAATAAAAGTAAATGAATCTTAAAACAAACAAACAAAACCCCTGGGCCTAGGGCATGGCCTAGTGACTAAAGTTCTTGCCTTGAATGCCCCAAGGTCCCATATGGACGCAGGTTCTAATCCCGGCAGCTCCACTTGCCATCCAGCTCGCTGCTTGTGGCCTGGGAAAGCAGTCGAGGATGACCCAAAGCCTTGGGACCCTGCACCCACGTGGAGACCCGAATGAGGCTCCTGGCTTCTGGCTTTTGATTGGCTCAGCTCCAGCTGTTGTGGCCGCTGGGGATGGAAGATCTTCCTCTGTATCTCTCCTCTCTGTATATCTAACTTTCCAACAAAAAATAAATAAATTTTTAAAAATCCTCTTTGTGCTTCTCTGGTCTCTCTGATTTTATTTTATTTTTTTATTATTTTAGCTAATGTTTACGTAGTTGATCAGAGTGGGAAAGATCTAGGATTAGGGAGAAATGGGTGTGATCATTGTTTCCAAACTTTGTATTTCTTCTTCTCATATTTGCGGGTAGGCAGAGTTAAGGGGATAGGGCCACACCCAGCCTCCCAACCAACCCAGCCCCCGAGGACAGGGCATCAACCCAGGGTTAACCCAGGGTCACAATGTGGCGCTTGCTGTGAGGGTTCTGCCCAGGTGGATGCGATAGTTCTGAAATGCTGTTGATCTGGCTGATCTATGGATGAGGAATCCCCTTCAATGTCCAGTGGCTGCACAGATATTTGCTGTCATTGTTTGGCTGGGGTAGTTGTCCATATCTTCTATTCTCCATTCTGTGCTATGGCACCGGATGTTCTCTGCAGGCCCCAATGGGTTACCGTGTCCTCTCTGTGCTCCACGATCTGCTGTCCAGCACTCCATCCTTTACACTGATTTTACTTTTTAAAGATAAACTTTTGGGGGGGCAACATCATCCACGCTAATCCTCCACCTGTGGCACTGACATGTGTGTGCCCCTTAGAGTCCCATGGCTCCCCTTCAAACCAGCTCCCTGCTTGTGGCCTGGGAAAGCAGTGGAGGATGGCTCCAAGCCTTGGGGCCCTGCAACTGCGTGGGAGATCCAGAAGAGGCTCCTGGTTCCTGGCTTCAGACTGGGCCAGCTCTATCTGTTGTAGCCATTTGGCTAGTGAACCAGTGAATGGAAGATCTTTCTCTGTTTCTCCTTCCTTCTCATCTAACTCTGCCTTTCCAATAAAATTAAATAAATATATTTAAAAATATATAAACTGTTCTTTAGGGGGGAAAATGTATTTTCATCTTATTTGGAAGGCAGAGACAGAACCTCCATCCACTCATCACTCGTCAAATGTCCCAGGTTACCCAGACACCCCGACAGCCAGGGCTGGGCCAGGCAGAAGCTAAGAACTCAGAGCTTTGGGTTTCCCACCTGGTGGCACAGATTTAAACACTTGAGTCAAACTCACTGCCTCCTACGCTGCAGACTAGCCCGGAAGTTAGCAGTGGGATCAGGGATTCCTATATAGAATGCTGCATCTTAACCGTTTGGTAAATGCCACCCTGTCTGTTTCTTAAAGTTTATTTTATTTATTTGATATGAGATGCCAGTGATGCAGGTGGCGGCTTAAGTTGATGTACCACCCTGCCAACCCCTAGTTCCGTTTGACCTTTAGGACCAAAACCTGGCCCTTCCCCCATCTTGCCCCAGCTTATTCCCGCTTTCAGTCCAGTTCACTTCACCAGAGCTGGGGGCCTCTGAGGACTGCAGGGAAGCCACCGAGGCACCACCCTCGCCTTCCCCTACCAGGGCTCTGGGGCCCTGGCCGGAGACGGTCCCGCCCGACAGCCGGGGTTGGAGGGCGGAGGCAACGCCCACCCGGCCAGGCCGCCTTGGATTGGATGATCGCAGCCAGGGGCCGGGTCAGAGCGGGGCGGTCACTGACGCCACGGTGTCCAGAAAGGGGCCAGCGGGGCTGCAGCCCGGGAAGGACGGGAGAGGCCCAGAGGCGGTGAGTGCGCGGCCGGCCGCCCGGGCGGGACAGGCAGGACCGGCAGGACCGGCGGGAGCTGTGGACCGTGGCGCGCACCGGACGCTGCCCACGCCCTTCTTCCCCTCGCAGTGCCCGAAGCTGGGCGCACCGGGAGGGGGACTCTGCGAGCGGAGCAGGTCCACAGTCCCGTCTTCATCTTCTAGATCCGGCGGACCGAAGCTCTTGAGCGAGGAGGAGCCGGCCAACATGGCATCGGAGGTGAGTGGGACTCGGGGTCTAGGAACGAGGCTGGAGGGACTCCTGGGAGCTAACTGGTCAGGGCGGAGACCTGAGGCACGAGGTCCCCACGCGCCTGCTGGCCAGGACGCACCTGCCCAGACGCACCGGCGACCCCCGGTCCGTCCTCTCCTGCCGCCCCCTAGTGGCCAAGCCTCCCTGCTGGGGGACAGGGAAAGCAGCTGCCCACCCAGGCTGTCCCCGTTTTGCCCCCTGGTTCTGGCACTCCACACCCTGCGTTACCCCCTCCTGCCTCGGCACTTGTCCCTTTGCCTAGGAAAGTGCTTGGCCCCTGCGGTCCCCTTATTCACTGTGGCGTGTGCCAAGAGCCAGGAGGTGGGGGACTTCTCCTGGAAGCCCTGCTGGCCCCGGGTAGCTGGGGTCGGGTCTCACCAGCACGGCTGAGCTCTCCTCCCTTGAACCCAGAACTCCTGACTTCTCACTCTGAGTGTGCAGGAGGCTGGGGCACAGGCTCTCCTCCTTAGGCCTCGGTTGATTTATCTGGCAAATGGGAATAATAACAGCTCTCTGACTCCCTGCGGTAGGTGCTGGGGCATGAGGTCATTGCTTTGAACCCTAAGGTTAAGGGAACAGGTTGCCCGAGGCTGGTGAAGTGAAGCAAGCAGGCTGGGTTCCAGCCCCTTGCAGCCCCCCCACCCCCCCATTAATTAACTGCCAGGTCACTTCCTCTGTCTCTCAGTTCTTCTGAATCAACAGAATGAGAAGGCCTCCCTGCTGGCTTTTGGATCATGGAGAAGGGCCTGGGTGGCAGGGCCCGGACTTTGGAACCAAGCAGGCTTGGTGTCTGAAACAGTCGTTGCAGCTCCCTGGGCTTCTCTGTTTGTGGAGATGGGGGTGGGGGAAGTCACGGTGCTGGCCTCATAGGAGGATGCAACATACAAATGCTTCAGAGAGTTCGTAAATGGAATCTGAAGATAGCGTTGATTTCACCGGGGGAAAATGGTGAAATCTCTGACTAGATGGGTTGTAATTCATGGGCAATGTGAAGGAGAAAATGCATGGCTTTAGAGAATGCATCAAAAAATTTTTTTGATGCCAAACCAGTTAATAGCAACCCACAGGATAGCTTGTCTTTTTTTTTTCTTCAAGATTTATTTATTTTCATTGGAAAGTCAGATTTACAGAGAGGAGAGACAGAGAGAGAGAGAGAGAGAGAGGGGATCTTTCATGTGCTGATTCACTCCCCAGATGGCTGCAATGGCCGGAGCTGAGCTGATCTGAAGCCAGGAACCAGGAATTTTTCCAGGTCTCCCACGAAGGTGCAGGGCCAATCCCCTGTTCCTTTTCCAGGCCACAAGCAGGGAGTTGCATAGGAAGTGGAGCAGCTGGGATATGAATCAGAACACACATGGGATCCTAGCGCTTACAGGAGAGCTTAAACCAATTGAGCCATTGCTCCATGCCCAGTACACACAGGGTCAAGCCATGCTGGGTTCTCAACAAATGGTGGCTCACAGCAACAGCATTCATGCTTCTTTTGTTCACTCATCCGGCTCCAACCAGTACTCCTGGAGCTTCTTCCAAGTCCCCCACATGGGTGCAGGGGCCCAGGGACCTGGACCATTCTCTGCTTGCCTTCTTAGGCCAACAGCAGAGAGCTGCATTGGAAGTGGAGCACCCAGGACATGAGCGAGCGCCCGCTGTGGGATGCTGGTGTCACAGGCAGATGATTCACTTACTATGCCATTACACGCTCCCCCCGTCCCTCTGTTGACCAGCTTGGCACAGTGCCCTTTCCTGGGCTGCCCTATCTGCTCAGCATCCACAGGGAGGCATCTCCCTCTGACCTGGCATCCTTTTAAGCTTGTCAGCGAGGTGTCAGCTGGGTCTCTGAGCACAGAGGCCTGCCTGCAGTGACCCCAGCTTGCCCTAGGCTGTCCTGTGGGTTGCCATTAATTGGTTTGGCTGCAGCCGACTGGCTAAGTAGCATTTGTGGTTATTACAAACAACCCAGCCTCCTGCGGGGGGAGGTGGAGCCTGGATCTTGGCTGTGGGGCCTCTGACTCCTGGTGACTCCCAGTTCTGACTGACTGGCTGGCTGGCTGGTGCTCAGACCCAGTTCCCACATGATGGCTTTGCTAGAGATCCAGGCTTGATGGCAGCTGTGGTGCTAGGAGTGGGCCCGTGGGAAGGGCAGAGGGAGGCAGAGGTTTCTCTTCAGGGCAGAATCCGCTGACAGCCAAGCTGTTGGGCTCCTGGGGGCAGTAGGGACTCAGGGATGGCTCTGATGTCCACACCAGCCCTTCCCTTGATGCTAGCTGCCATTTTCGGAGTTGTTGCTGAATGCTGGTGATGGGCTCCCCATCCATCTGAACAGACACTTGGAAAGGTGGGATTAGAAGTCAGTTCATTTTTATGTAAACCCATCGGAAACCCACACATCCAAAGGAGCTTCTAAAAGTTCTTCACAAATATATTGACTATAAAAACAATTGCCCGGAAGCCAATACTTGGCCGCCAAAGTGTATCTTTTCATTGTGTTTCCCTGAGCTTTCTGAACTACCCTGGAGGTATGCCCTTTGCAAATGATCCCTGACTGAGTGCTCACAATTTGAGGGGACCGTGATTATCGCTGCTTCCCAGAGAGGCACCCCTGAAGTTTAGAGAGGTTATGGACTGTGCCCAAGGGCAATGTTTAGAAGAGACCCCACATTGCCAGGGGAACAGAGAAGGATGCCTGTCCCCCGTGACCTCATGGACCCCTTTCCACAGAAAGAGCACCTGTGAAATCACCTGCCCTCCTGCTCCCATCTCCTTCCTGCCCTGGGCACTCTTGGGCCCCCGAGTTCCTCACCCGGTGTTCTCACCTACCCCATGCCATGGCCTGTGTCCTCTTTTCAAACACAGAGGCTTCTGTCCCATCCGTTTGGCCTTTGCTCCCAGGGGCATGTGGTCAGCCAGTGACCTCCCAGAAGGCGGTGCCAGGGGCGCCCTCCAGAGCCGAAAGCATGATGGCAGTCGGGTCCTTGCCTCCCCGCAGCTGTGGGAGCCACAGTGCAGCTGCAGATTGCGCTGAGAGTCAGGTGCCTCTTGGCTTATCCTTGCAAGTCCAAATTTAGGATCCCAGAACCAAGCAGAAGCCCCGGGGAGCATGAGGCCGGCAGCCTGGGCTCTCCCATCCCAGTCCCATTGAATGCAAGCTCTGTGATGTTCCATGCCTCCATTTCCCCTCAGCGTGGCAGGACAGTGTTGGTGCCTATCTCATAGTTGACTGGCACAGTGCCTGGCACACAGCAAAAATGCAGGATATGCCAGTCACTGCAAGTGTCATCATCATTGCCACGGCAATCCAAGGTTACAACCCTGGGCACTGGAGCTGCTTCCAGGGCTCTGCACCCCCCTACCCTGTATTCCAGTGTGATTTCTCTGACCTTGGTCAGCAGTGACAAGAAGGGTTCCTGACGTTCCACTGTGCTCCTAGGGGCGCCTGCCCCATCTTCCTGGGAGAAGAACCCACCAAGGGGCAGCCATGCTACTCATTTCCTGGATGACTCAGGCCAACTCCTTGACACTTTGAGTCTCACTCAGCCTTGCCCGCAGAGAGTAATCCTACCCGATGGTCCCCCACGGCTGTCAGACCTGAGGCCTTGTCGTGGGAGCCTGGAGCAGGGATGGTGATCGGTCATTCCTGTTCTCTTGGCCAGAGCGGGAAGCTGTGGGGTGGCCGGTTCGTGGGTGCAGTGGACCCCATCATGGAGAAATTCAATGCGTCCATCGCCTACGACCGGAACCTGTGGGAAGTGGACGTGCAGGGCAGCAAAGCTTACAGCAGGGGCCTGGAGAAGGCGGGCCTCCTTACTAAGGCTGAGATGGACCAGATCCTGCGTGGCCTGGACAAGGTAACTGTGTGTCCCCTGCCCCACCCGAGAGCCCTCCCTGGCTCCACAGGCTTCAGTCAAGTTCCTGAACAAGAAGAGCATGTAGGAGCGGCCTAAGCCGGTGGTGGTCACATGCTGATGGAGGGGTCCACTTCCCACCTGCTTCAGCTGGCAAGGGGCCTCACGGCCCCTGGGCTCTTGAAAAGAGCTGTGCAGGCCCAAGGTGCTCCCTCGGAGAAGGGGGTGGTGCCAGCACTCAGCTCCTTTATAGGAAGGGTGGGGACAGGCATGGGTCTTCTTGGGCTGCCCCCTGGGTTGATGGCACTTCACTTGCTTGGCAGGTGGCTGAGGAGTGGGCGCAGGGCACCTTCAAACTGAACCCCAACGACGAGGACATCCACACGGCTAATGAGCGGCGCCTGAAGGTAATCCCGTCCCCTCCCCCACCCCAGCCTCCCCTCTGTGCCTTGCCCTAAGCGGCTTTGGACACTAGCCCCATCATTCTGCTACCTTCACCACTGCCACGGTGTGGACGGGACCTCAGAACTGGTTGCCTCTGCAGAGATTGCAAGAGACTTGGGCAGGCCAGGGGCCCTGGGATGGGGACAGAGGGTGACAGGGCCTTTGTTTAGCCCAGCCAGGGACTGGCAGGCAGATCCTGACTCAGGACTTCCCTTCACCCACAGGAGCTCATCGGGGAAACCGCAGGGAAGCTGCACACGGGACGCAGTCGGAATGACCAGGTGCCACCTCCCGCTCCACCGCCCTGCTCCATGCCTGCTCTGCCCAGGCAGCCATGAGGACTCAGCAAGGGGCCTGGCTCCCCAGGGCACTACGGTTGTCCATCTTTGTGGGCCACTTCCCCTTTCCCCGTAGGTGGTCACGGACCTCAGGCTATGGATGAGGCAGACCTGCTCGAAACTCTCCACCCTCCTCTGGGAGCTCATCAAAACTATGGTGGATCGGGCAGAGGCGTGAGTCTCCCAGAGGCACCCCCCCACTGGCAGAGGGTCACAGGGTACCTGAGGTCTCCTCTGCCCCTGGCAAGCAGCCTCAACACCAGAGCTGGAGGTTACAGAGCCAGGTCCTGGGAAGAGGATGCTGTGGAATTCCTGGCCCGAGCAAGGCACAGCAGCCTGTGATGGGCTTTCGCCAGCAGCCTCCTCTACCCAAGACCGGCCTGGCTCAGGATAGGAAAAGGTACCCTGGCTCCTGGGTAGGAAAAGCTGTCCCTTTTAAGGTTCCAAATGCAGGAGGCACCAGACACATGACCAGATGGCCCAGGAGAGGGCCTGGCTGAGCCTGGAGCAGGCCAGAGCCACTCATCAGTTAGCCATCCCGTCCCACCCATCCCTGCCCACCCAGGGCACAGCCTCTTGCCAGCATCTCTCCAAGCCTGGGCTTCTGTGCTGTGGTGTTGTTGGAGGCGCTTAGCTCTTTGAGCCTGCCAGGGAGCTGTTGAGACATCCCTAGGTGGGTCAAGGGCCACATGGCTGGACCCTCATCTTCCCAATTCACAGATTCCAATCGCTTGGGGGAAATGTTGCAGGGAGATTAGAGTTGGCATTGTGGGATGGGAGCCTGTTGCATGTGGGTGCTCATGAGCAAAGGGTCTCTTGCTGGTGTGATGGAGGTATTCTAGGAGGTCCTCGTGTTGGCAGGCAGGGCTGCCCAACCCTAGGGGATATCTTATCTACCACAAGCCTCCTCCTTTCTCAGCTTGGCTTGGAGCTGCCCAGTGTGGCAGAACGTGAGACTGAGGGCATGATCTGAGGGTGAAATCTCCTTGGCTCTGGCCCAACCCCTGACCCACATCCACTGTCCCCACTTCCAGTCTCTTTTTCTCTGAGGATCCAGCATTCCCTGGGAGATTGCTTGATCCCTTAGGTCAGCAGACACCTGCAGGCCAGTCCTGCTCTTCACTGAAGGGACCCGGGTGTCACAGGCAGGCCTACATTGGAGCTTCTGCCTGACACCAGCCCCTTCTCTTTCACCCACACAGAGAACGTGACGTCCTATTCCCGGGGTACACACACCTACAGAGGGCCCAGCCCATTCGCTGGAGCCACTGGATCCTGAGGTGCGTGCGGGTGCATTTGGTGATGGGGGGGAGAGGAGGGGCTGGATGCCCTTGACCGTCCTAGCCATGGCTTCCCTACAGCCATGCCGTGGCGCTGAGCCGAGACTCCGAGAGGCTACTGGAGGTGCAGAAGCGCATCAGCGTCCTGCCCCTCGGGAGGTGAGATCCGCTTGTTCCAGAGTTCAGGTGTACGTGGGAGAGGGAGGCAGGGGGAGTCCCTGCTACGCAGACAGCATAGTCTTTGTGGATTGACTGAGGAGAAAAACCAGGAGGGCAGAGCAAGCTGGAAATCTCCGGGGGAGGACCCCGTAGGGACCCCCAGGTCTTGTAAGATGGGAACATTGAAGCGTGCAATTGAGTCTGAGCAGAGAGAGTCCAGTGGGCTGCCCACAGCCTCCCACCCCATCCTGCCCTATTTGGGCACAGGCATCCTGGCACCCAAGGTGACTGGGCCAAGGAAGAGGGACTGACTCCTAGCTAAAACCTTGACCACCAAGAGCTGGTTCTGGGTGCGCATGGGTGTCTGTGCTGGGCCTTGCTGCCTGGAAGTTCTATCATGATGAGATCTCTCTCCCCCCAGCGGGGCCATTGCTGGTAATCCTCTGGGAATAGATCGGGAGCTACTCCGAGCCGGTGAGCAACCCCGCCCCCTGGTCCCTGGGGAGAATCCCCCTCAGCACCTGCCAAGTCCCACAGATGAACCTGCCTTGTGGGTATATGAGAGACCTGCCCTTGCCCCCTAGTTCAGCCCAGTTTCTTCTCCCACCCCCACCTGCAGAACTGGGTCTTGGGGCCATCACCCTCAACAGCATGGATGCTACCAGTGAGAGAGACTTCGTGGGTGAGTCCTGAGGCCTGGTCCTCCGATCCCACCTGTGACCCTCAGGCCCAGCTTCTCTCCAGCTCTCTCCCATGCCCTGTCTGGTTCACCTGGAGCTTCTCCAAGCTGGCTGGGGAGCAGGAGAGTTTTGGAGACCTGAGAAGCTGCTCTCCTCTCTCTCCCGCCTCCCAAGCTGAATTCCTGTTCTGGGCCTCGCTGTGCATGACGCACCTCAGCAAGGTGGCCGAGGACCTCATCATCTACGGTACCAAGGAATTTGGCTTTGTGCAGCTCTCCGATGCCTACAGGTAGGGCCCGAGTTACCCATCATCCAGCCCCACCAGGGTTCCCGCCCTCCTTCTCCCACACCAGCCCATCATGTTGCTGGGCCTGCCCTGCCCTAACCAGCAGGCCAACTCAGGCACATGTGAACCACTGCTTCAGTCCCAGTGTCTCTGTCCCCAGCACCGGAAGCAGCTTGATGCCCCAGAAGAAAAACCCCGACAGCCTGGAGCTGATCCGCAGCAAGGCGGGGCGAGTGTTTGGGCGGGTGAGCAGGGGTGCAAAGATGGGCCTGGGCTGACCCAGCTGACTTAGAGGCCGGCTCCGGATCCCAGCTACTGAGCTCTCACTCTCCCTGCAGTGTGCTGGGCTCCTGATGACCCTCAAGGGACTTCCAAGCACTTACAACAAGGACTTACAGGTGTGAGGCTGGGTGCAGGGAGCAGGACTCACCCCACCCCAAAAACACACAGCAAACACACCCAGGCTGGGGCCCCTTCCTGTGCACCTAGCCCTGTGTCACCTTTAGAGCTCCCTGCTGGCTCTTGCTGTGGGCATGAGAAGTTCTTGTCCCCCTGGGAGGACAGTAGGACATGGGACTACCTGTGGCAGAGGACGTTTGTGGGCTTGGGGCCCTCACCTCCTACCCTGTGCCTCCCAGGAGGACAAGGAAGCCGTGTTTGAAGTGTCAGACACCATGGGTGCTGTCCTGCAGGTGGCCACCGGCGTCATCTCCACATTGCAGGCAAGAAGCCTCCTACCCCTCCTGTTCCTCGGGGCCCCTGCCCTCGGGGTGGACCTGGCAGGACTCAGAGGTGGGGCTGGGAGAGCTGGGACTGGGAGCAGGGTATGTACTTATCCCTACTCCTGGGCAGCAAGATGGGGACAAAATGGAAGAGGATGGGACTCCAGGAACCCCGGGTCCCCTCAGCTGGCCAAAGCAGATTTCCTTCTGCATAAAGTTTGATTTCCACTGAAAGGCAGGCAGACATCCCCATCTGCAAGTTCACTCTCCAGATCCCCGGAACAGCTGGGCAGGGTCAGGAGCTGAGAAGTTCATCCAGGGTCTCCCCACCGTGGGAAACAGGGACTCCAGTCCTTGAGCAGTGACCTGCTGTGGAGTCAGGAGCAGAGTCACAACTGGGACTCAGGCACTCCAGTGGGGGATGCAGGTGTCCTGGGAGGCAACACCACCACCATGGCCCCCAACACTGATCCCAGGGACCTCCTTCCTATCATTTGTCAGGGAACCCTAAGTACACAGCAGGTACTGCCTTTAGCAACAGTCAACTCTGGATCCGTCTTACTGCAAACTATTTTATCTCTTCTCCCACACCAAAGATGTATTTATTTATCTGAAAGTCAGAGTTACAGATGGAGAGAGAGAAAGAGAAAACTCTTTCAGCTGCTGGCTTGCTCCCTAAATGTGCCAGGCTGAAGCTGGGAGCCAGAAGCTTCTTCCAGGTCTCCCCACATAGGTGTAGGGACCCAAGCACTTAGGCCATCTTGCACTGCTCAGGGAACTGAATCAAACTTGAGCAACCAGCCCATAGGGGATGCCGGCACTGCAAATGATGGAAGCCGTGTCACTAGCCCTCTTTACTCCCCGTCACTCCTGTTGATTTCCAATGGGTCTAAAGCACCTGCTCCCAGACCCTAGTTCTGGGAAGAAGTGTCAGCATCGCTTTAAGAACCTGGGGCAGAGGCAACCCTAGGTCCCACTCCAGATGACTGAATTAGAGACTCTAGAGGTGGGGCGTAGCTCCTTGTATGTTTAATAACAAGGAATTCTAATGCCTGCCTGTGATAAGGGCTCTTTGGAAACACAAAGGACGCAGTCAGCAATGCACCTAAAACATTACTACCATTAGAATGTGCTGCAGGCAGAAACTGGAACATAGCTGGGTGGGTGGCCAGAGCAGGGGACATCCCAGCTAAGGAGTCCCCTCCACCCCTGGGGCTTTGCTGGGGCCAGCACTTGCAGGCTCCAGGGTCCCCAACACATACCACTCACTGGCTGGCATTCCCAGATTCACCGTGAGAACATGGCACAGGCGCTTAGCCCTGACATGCTGGCCACTGACCTAGCCTACTACCTGGTCCGCAAAGGGGTAAGTGAGAAGCAGGGGAGTGGGTGGGGAGAGGTGGAGGCAGGCACGGGAGTGTCCCCCAGGCCAGGAAACAGGGACAAGGCAGACATGGAGGAAGCTGCCCTCAGCGCCCACACCCCATACCGCAGATGCCGTTCCGCCAGGCACACGAGGCCTCTGGCAAAGCCGTGTTCATGGCGGAGACCAAGGGGGTCGCCCTCAACCAGCTGTCCCTGCAGGAGCTGCAGAGCATCAGGTACTGCAGCATCACCCCGCCCTCCTGGAAGGCACACGTGGGTCCCTGGAGTCGGGGGAGTGTGAACACAGCCCCTCTCTCCTCCTTTCCCGCAGCCCCCTGTTCTCAGGTGACGTGGGCCGTGTGTGGGACTACGGGAACAGTGTGGAGCAGTACAGCGCACTGGGCGGTACAGCGCGCTCCAGCGTCGACTGGCAGATCAGCCAGCTGCGTGCTGTGCTACAGGCTCAGCAGGCCCAGACACCCCGCGGGGCTGCTCCCTAATAAAGTGGGCCCAAGTGCAGGCTGCCGCGTGTTTCCTGCCCCAGCTGGGCCCGCCCTACTTTGGGAAGTTGTCAGATCCCTGGGGCTGACCACTGAGGAAGAGTAGGGACAGTTACAAGGGCGGGGGGTGGTGGAGAGGGCTTCCTACCGGAACCTCTGCTGTGTCCCGATTCCAACCGTGTTGTCTGCAGGGCCTGGCAGTGACCCCTGCCTGGGCTGAGCTTGGTACTCTAGTGGCACCTGCGTGGCCCAGTGAGTCCAGTTGGTCACTCGCTATCCATCCTGCCACCTTCCCGGTGTCTCCTGGGCTGCCCTCGCTCTCATTCTCCTTGCTCATCCCACCCCTTTCTAGAAACCCACAAGGCACCATTACAGGGCGTCCTTCTGACCTGTGAAGGGGCATAGAGTCTGTGATGCACCAGCTGTGATGCCAGGCACTAAGTGTGCTTCCACCAAAGATGAAGACGCAGTGCCTTCCCCTGGTGAGAGAGCGAGGTGCAGATAAATCCCCCCACACTGAACCTGGCTGAGAAGAGAGAGATGTGGTAACTGTCCGGGCCTGATGCTTTAAGGGACACATGTTCACGCTGCGTCTGCAAAGGGCCCTGCATATGGGGACTGCTCGACAGAGCATGCAGAAGGCCGGAAAACTTGCTCACACATATTTAGCCCAGGTCCCATTAAGGAATGCGTGGAATTTTTGTCTTATTAATAGTGCTTGTGATGAACACAAGAATGGGTAACCCTCCCAAGAGAGTGTGTGCTAAGGTAACAAAGCTACAGTCTTGGGTGTGCACTGTGGGAGGCCACGGGTGAGCAGTGCTCAGGTGCAGTCCTGGGGGTGTGCCCCGTGGGAGGCCACAGGTGAGCAGTCCTCAGGTGCAGTCCTGGGCGTGTGTCCCGTGGGAGGCCACGGTTGAGCAGTCCTCAGGTGCAGTCCTGGGCGTGTGCCCCGTGGGAGGCCACGGGTGAGCAGTCCTCAGGTGCAGTCCTGGGGGTGTGCCCCGTGGGAGGCCACAGGTGAGCAGTCGTCAGGTGCAGTCCTGGGGGTGTGCCCCATGGGAGGCCACAGGTGAGCAGTCCTCAGGTGCAGTCCTGGGGGTGTGCCCCGTGGGAGGCCACAGATGAGCAGTCCTCAGATGCTTGCATCTCTGACTCAGAAAACTGCTGTACCTGTCTCCTGGCAGTTGCCATGTCCCACCCCCTTGTGTTGCAGAGAACTGGAGAGTGAATCAGCAGATGGAAAATCTTTCTCCCTGTCTCTCCCTCTCTCTCAAGTGTGTGCCTTACACTGAAGATTTTAAAATATTAAAGGAAATAATATTTTGCAGCTCAGGTACATGATACCAAATTCCACACAGGTCAGTGCTATGGGTTACATCGCTATCATCAGGGGTTGATCAGAGATACAAACTTTCAAGCCTCACCAGAACTGAACCAGAGGCTGTGTGGGAGCTGCAGTAAATTTCCACAAGTGCTCTCTCATTGGACAATCTTTAGAATTTTGTGGCTCGAAGGAGCTGTGGACCATCAACTTCAGCCTCACCAGCCTGACCTCCTAGTTCAGGATCTGCATTTTAAAAATTTCTTTTAAAAATTCTTTAAAAGGCAGTTAGAGAGAAAGAGAGCTTCCATCCACTGGCTCACTCCCCACATGGCATCCGTAGCCAGAGCTAGGCTGGTCTGAAGCCAGGAGCCAGGAGGTTCTTCTGGGTTCTCCACTTGGAGGCAAGGGTCCAAGGACCATTCTCTGCTGCATTGCCAGGGGTCATTAGCAGGGAGCTGGGTCAGAAGTAGAGCAACGAAGACTTGAACCAGCGCTCACATAGGCTGCTGGTGCTTCAAGTAGCAGCTTTACCCACTCTGCTGCAGTGCTGGTTCAGAACCTGTACTTGAACCTACTCCCCAGGCGTCTCCTGTGTGAACTGGAGTTGGAAGTGCTGTTCCAAAGAGAAAGCCTAAAATCCAGGTGTCGGCAATGAAGGAGGGCCTCGTGCAGAGTGTTAGTGATTGTGCGGGTGGGGATTTGGCATGGCGGTGAAGATGCTGGTTGGAATGGCTTCATCTCATGTCTGAGCGCCTGGCTTTGAGCTCCAGCTTCTTCTTCTTCTTTTCTTTTTTTTTTAGTAGATATGAGAGTCTTTATTACTATTACTATACATCCCCTTAAATGAAAAGCCACAAAACAAAAACAGGAAGAAAAAAGAAATTAACAATGCCATGAAGTTAAATAACATGCTAAATAATGTGTCACTGAAGAAAATCAAGGACCTTCTTGAAGAAAATGATGCTACTGTATGATCTATTTGAAGAGATTAAACTTAAAAAAAAATCAAAATCCACGATAAAGTTTCCGCTAATCTTTGTTGGTGAGATGTGTCCTGTACGCAATAGATGGGTTTTGGTTTTTTATAAAAAAAAAAAATCCAGTTCACATTATGGGCCGCTCCAACTAGGTTACAGCTCGCACTGGTTTATGTGAGGGCCAAGTATGTGCTGGGCAGAATCAGGCTGGACTGCGACACCCATTGAGTAGAAGATGGGGCTGCAAACAGAACTGACTCAGCAATTGCAACCACCAGCTAACTGCGGGATGGACTGTACCAGGCCCTGTACTTGCAATTACACACAAGAACCTGGTCTGGGTTCACCACAATTGAACTACCAGACTCAGATCCCTAACCATGAAAAGACAAGAGGACAAATCAATAAACTACTCCAACCATATGTTGGCAGTGAAAAACAGGATAAACAGAGACTCCAAGATAGACAAGATATGTCAGCCAGTGGATTCTGCAGAGATTTCTTTGTGCTTGGAATGGCGAGATTGGCAGCAATTCAGAATGTTGAACTATCAAAACCACTTGAGCAAGACCCTTGGAGCATGCTCCACACTGGGGACCTGGGATGGGAGGGAGAGTGGGTGGGGCTTCTCCCTTTACCGCCCCCTTTACCCCAGATATTGGAGAAAAAAATGTGGAAATGATAGCCTTACCCACTTTCCTGTAGCCCTTGAACCCTTGTGCCCTAATTAACTGTGTAAAGATTGTCAAAAATAAAATTTTAAAAACGGGGGAAAAAAATCCAGTTCACTAATCTATAACATTTGACTGATGAGTTTAACCCATTTATATTCTGGGTTAGTATGATGGGTAGTAATTTGGTCCTGTCATTGTAGCAATGGGTTGTTCATTGGTTTAGTCTTGTGTTGTCATTTTACTGGGATGTTCTTCCCGTTTGCCTTTGGTTTTAGTTGGTGCTATTCCTTTTCTCTGTCAAAAGAACATCTTTATCATTTGTAGAGCAGGTTTGGAAGAGGCATATTCTTTTAACTTTTCTTTACTGTGGGAGAATTGTATTTCATTTTCAAAGACAAAGGAAAGTTTTGCAGGGTATGTTATCCTGGGCTGACAATTTTTTGCTTCTAGAATCTGGAATATATCATTCCATTCTCTTCTGGCCTGTAGAGTTTCTTGTGAGAGATCTCCTGTGAGCTTAATTGGCATTCCTTTATATGTCAATTATTTTTTTTCACGTGCACATTGAAGGATCTTTTCCTTATGTTCAATTGAAGAGAGCTTGATGATCATATGGCTTGGTGAAGATCGCTTTTGATCAAGCCTGTTGGGAGTTCTATGCCCCTCCTGGATCTTGTTTCCCAATTCTTTCTCCAGATTAGGGAAATTTTTCCTTAGTATTTCATTGAATACACCCTTAATCCCAGCTTCTCTTTATGCATCTTCTGGGATTCCCATAACTCTTATATTAGGCCTTTTAATAGTGTGTTTCAATTCTTGAATACTTTTTTGGGTCTGATCCAGCTCTGCTTCCAGCTTTTTGGTTTTTCCCCCCGGTGACAGGAATTATCTTCTAATGTTGAGATTCTTTCTTCTGCCTCCTTCATTCTATTTTGGAGACTCCCCACTGTACTTTTAATTTGCTTTACTGTATTCTTCATTTCTGATGTATCATCAGCCTTCATTTGCTTCACTGCTGTTACTTGCTGTGTAATAGATTCGTTGAATTCCTTGAGTGCCTGCTTCATGTACTTCTCATTGATAAGTAGCTTAAAACAAGTATTTTCAATTCTTTATCTCCCATTTTCTCGATGTCTTCCTCAGTAAACTCTGAGGTTGGCAAAGGGTTTTGCTTCTTTGCAAGGGAGTCTTCAGTAACATTCATTGTGCCACTGTCTCTTTTGCCCTTGGTCATTGTGCTTCTGGTTATCAGATTCTTCTTTTTGGGGTAGGTTTCTAAGCTGTGTTACCCACAGATCTACAGTTCAATTTTACTTATTGCAGTTGGTACCTGGTACTTTCTTTGCAGTCTCTTGTGCCACTCCCTTGGTACTGATCTTGCCAGAACCTGTTGGCCGTTAGGTCCGAGGGCCATGTGTGTCTATTTTGACCTGTACAATGCCAAAGTCAGTATTGTTTCCCTGTGGGACACTGCAATGCACTGAGCTCAGCGAGTCTGTTCCAAGCTCAGCACATGTGTAGCTCACTGTTTTCCCCACACGTACAAAATGGCACCCAATTTGGCTGTAGGGGGTGGACTGGGTTGTTAAATTGATCCTGTTCCTGCACTGCCTGTCTGGCACCTGCTGCTCTGTCTCTGCTCTTGGTCAAATCAAACAGACCAGCAGGACGGACAGTTCTTTGGGTTGAGCTCCTGAGCTCCCGGTAAACATCCCTTCCCACCTTGCTGCTGGTGGAATTCCGGCTGCTGGTGGAGTTTAGATCATGGCTCGCTGAATGCCGCTGGGGTATCAGTCACTGCAACACCACACGGTTGCATCTGTGCTGTGTCTATCAGTGAATGTGTTCAAAGATACAGGATCATAAGGATGTGGTTATGGTCATCCTTGGAAGCTGCTCAAAGTTAGCCAGGAGATTTCGTGAGCCGAAAACACCAGATGCAATGAAGTATCTTAGGAGGTTTATTCCAAAGGCGCAGGAACAGGATCGAGCTCCAGCTTCTGATTCCAGCTTTTTGCAGTGTGCACCCTGGAAAGC